GTAGCTCCCATAGGGTAGCCTGGGATCACCGTAGCCCCCAAGGGGTAGCCTATGCTCACCGTAGCTCCCACGGGGTAGCTTGAGATCACCGTAGCCCCCATGGGGTATCCTGGGATCACCGTAGCCCTCATGGGGTAGCCTGAGACTACCGTAGCTCCCATTGCGTAACCTGAGATCACCGTAGCCCCCCATGGGGTACCCTGCGATCACCGTAGCTCCCATTGGGTAGCCTGAGATCACCGTAGCCCCCATGAGGTAGCCTGGGATCACTGTAGCTCCCATGGGGTAGCCTGAGATCACTGTAGCCCGCATGGGATAGCCTGAGATCACTGGAGCTTCCATGGGGTAGGCTGAGACCAACGTAGCCCCCTCGGGTAGCCCGAGATCACCGTATCTCCCATGGGGTAGCCTGGGATCACCGTAGCCCCATATTGGGTAGCCTTTGATCACCGTAGCTCTCATGGGGTAGCCTGAGATCACCGTAGCCCCTATTAGGTAGTCTGAGCTCACCGCTCCTATGAGGTAGCCTCAGACCACCGTAGCCCTCATTAGGTAGCCTCAGATCCCCGTAGCTCCTATGGGGTAGCTTAGGATCACCGTAGCCCCCCATGGGGTAGCCTGAGATAACCGTAACCCCCATGGGGTAGCCTGTGATCACCGTAGCTCCCATGGAGTAGGCTGGGATCACCAGAGATCCCATGGGGAAGCCTGAGATCACCGTAGCTCCCTTGGGGTAGCCTGGGATCACCGTAACTTCCATGGGGTAGCTGGGGTTCACTGTAGCTCCCATTGGGGAGCCAGAGATCACCATTGCTCTCATACGGTAGCCTTGGATCACCGTAGCCCTCATTGGGTAGCCTGGGATCACAGTAGCACCCATTAGGGTAGCTTGAGATCACCGTAGCCCCCATGAGGTAGCTTGGGATCACCGTAGCTCCCATAGGGTAGCCTGAGACTACTGTAGCCCCCATCGGGTAGCCTGGGATCACAGTAGTCCCCGATGGGGTAGCCTGGGATCACCGAAGCTCTCATGCGGTAGCCTAAGATCACTGTAGCTCCTATGGGGTAGCTTCGAATCACCGAAGCCCCCAAAGGGGTAGCATGGGTTCACCGTAGCCCCCATGGGGTAGCCTGAGATCACAGTAGCCCCCATGTAGTAGCCTGAGATCACCAAATCTCCCGTGGGGTTGCCTGGGATCACCGTAGCTCCCGTTGGGAAGCCCTAGATCAAAATAGCACCCGTGGGGTAGCCTGGGATCATCGTAGCTGCAATGGGGTAGCCTGGGATCATCGTAGCTCCAATGTGGTAGCCTGAGATCACCGAAGCTCTCGTGGGGTAGCCTGAGATCACTGTAGCTTCCATTGGGTAGCCGGGGATCACCGTAGCGTCCATGGGGGAGTCTGAGATCACTGTAGCCCCCATGGGGTAGCCTGAGATCATCGTAGCTCCCATTGGGTAGCCTGAGATCAACGTAGCTCTCATTGGGAAGCTTAGGATAACCGTAGCTCCCATGTGGAACCTTAGGACCACTGTAACTCCCATGGGGAAGCTTAAGATCACCGTAGCTCCCATGAGGTACCTTAGGATCACCATAGCTCACATAGGGTAGCCTGAGATCACCGTAAGTCCCATGGGGTAGCCTGAGATCTCCGTAGCCCTCATGGGGTAGCCTGAGATCACCGTAGCTCACATGGGGTTGCCTGAGATCACCGTAGCTCCTATGGGGTAGCCTGATACCACCGTAGCTCCCATGGGGTAGCCTGAGACCACCGTAGTTCCTATGGGGTAGCCTGAAATCACCGTAGCCCCCATTGGGTAGGCTGAGACCACCGTAGCTCCCATTAGGTAGCCTTATATCACCGTAGCTCCCATAGGGTAGCCTGGGATCACCGTAGCCCCCAAGGGGTAGCCTAGGATCACCGTAGCTCCCACGGGGTAACTTGAGATCACCGTAGCCCCCATGGGGTATCCTGGGATCACCGTAGCCCTCATGGGGTAGCCTGAGACTACCGTAGCTCCCATTGCGTAACCTGAGATCACCGTAGCCCCCCATGGGGTACCCTGCGATCACCGTAGCTCCCATGTGGTAGCCTGAGATCACCGTAGCCCCCATGAGGTAGCCTGGGATCACTGTAGCTCCCATGGGGTAGCCTGAGATCACTGTAGCCCGCATGGGATAGCCTGAGATCACTGGAGCTTCCATGGGGTAGGCTGAGACCAACGTAGCCCCCTCGGGTAGCCCGAGATCACCGTATCTCCCATGGGGTAGCCTGGGATCACCGTAGCCCCATATTGGGTAGCCTTTGATCACCGTAGCTCTCATGGGGTAGCCTGAGATCACCGTAGCCCCTATTAGGTAGTCTGAGCTCACCGCTCCTATGAGGTAGCCTCAGACCACCGTAGCCCTCATTAGGTAGCCTCAGATCCCCGTAGCTCCTATGGGGTAGCTTAGGATCACCGTAGCCCCCCATGGGGTAGCCTGAGATAACCGTAACCCCCATGGGGTAGCCTGTGATCACCGCAGCTCCCATGGAGTAGGCTGGGATCACTAGAGATCCCATGGGGAAGCCTGAGATCACCGTAGCTCCCTTGGGGTTGCCTGGGATCACCGTAACTTCCATGGGGTAGCTGGGGTTCACTGTAGCTCCCATTGGGGAGCCAGAGATCACCATTGCTCTCATACGGTAGCCTTGGATCACCGTAGCCCTCATTGGGTAGCCTGGGATCACAGTAGCACCCATTAGGGTAGCCTGAGATCACCGTAGCCCCCATGAGGTAGCTTGGGATCACCGTAGCTCCCATAGGGTAGCCTGAGACTACTGTAGCCCCCATCGGGTAGCCTGGGATCACAGTAGTCCCCGATGGGGTAGCCTGGGATCACCGAAGCTCTCATGCGGTAGCCTAAGATCACTGTAGCTCCTATGGGGTAGCTTCGAATCACCGAAGCCCCCAAAGGGGTAGCATGGGTTCACCGTAGCCCCCATGGGGTAGCCTGAGATCACAGTAGCCCCCATGTAGTAGCCTGAGATCACCAAATCTCCCGTGGGGTTGCCTGGGATCACCGTAGCTCCCGTTGGGAAGCCCTAGATCAAAATAGCACCCGTGGGGTAGCCTGGGATCATCGTAGCTCCAATGGGGTAGCCTGGGATCATCGTAGCTCCAATGTGGTAGCCTGAGATCACCGAAGCTCTCGTGGGGTAGCCTGGGATCACTGTAACTTCCATTGGGTAGCCGGGGATCACCGTAGCGTCCATGGGGGAGTCTGAGATCACTGTAGCCCCCATGGGGTAGCCTGAGATCATCGTAGCTCCCATTGGATAGCCTGGGATCACCGAAGCTCCCTTGGGGATGCCTGGGATCACCATAGCCCCGATGGGGTAGCCTGAGATCAATGGAGCTCCCATGGCACACCATGAGATCATCGTAGCTCCCATTGGGTAGCCTGAAATCACCGTAGCTCCCATGGGATAGCCTGGGATCACCGAAGCTCCCTTGGGGATGCCTAAGATAACCATAGCACTTATGGGGTAGCCTGAGATCACTGGAGCTCCCATGGCGTAGCATGAGATCATCGTCGCTCCCATTGGGTAGCCTGAGATCACTGTAGCTCCCATTGGGTAGCCTGGGGTCACCGAAGCCCCCATTGGGTAGCCTGGGATCACCGTAGCTCCCATGCGGGTAGCCTGAGATCACCGTAGCTCCCATGGGGTAGCTTGGGATCACCGAAGCTCTCATGGGGTAGCCTGAGACCACAGTAGCCTATACGGGATAGCCTGAGCTCACCGCTTCTATGGGGTAGCCTGAGACCGCCGTAACCCTCATCGGGTTACCTGAGTTCACCGTAGCTCATATGGGGTAGCTTGGGATCACCTTAGCACCCCAAAGGGTAGCCTGGGATCACCGTTGCCCCCATGGGGTAGCCTGAGATCACCGTAGCCTCTTTGGGGTAGCCTGAGATCACTGTAGCTCAAGTGGGGTAGCCTGGAATCAATGTAGCCCCCCATGGGGTAGTCTGGGATCACGGTAGCCCCCATGGGGTAGCCTGAGATCACCATAGCCTCATTGGGTAGCCTGAGATCACCGTAGCTTCCATGGGGTTGCCTGGGATCACCGTAGCTCTCATTGGAAAGCCTGAGATCACTGTAGCTCCCTTGGGGTAGCCTGGGATCACCGTATCTTCTATGGGGTAGCCTGGCATCAGCGTAGCTCTGATGGGGTAGCCTTGGATCACCGTAGCGTCCATGGAGGAGCCTGAGATTACCGTAGCCCCATGGGGTAGCGTGAGATCACCATAGCTCCCATGAGGTAGCCTGGGATCACCGAAGCTCCCATGGGGTAGCCTGGGATCACCGTAACCCCCATGGGGTAACCTGAGACCACCGTAGCTCTCATGGCGTAGCCTGAGATCACTGTAGCTCCCGTAGGGTAGCCTGAGATCACCGTAGCTCCCATGGGGTAGTCTGGGATCATCGTAGCTCCAATGGGGTAGCCTGGGATCACTGTCGCCCCTATGAGGTAGCCTAAGATCACTGTAGCTCCCTTGGTGTAGCCTGAGATCACTGTAGTTCCCATGGGGTAATCTGAGATCACCGTAGCCCCCCATTTGGTAGCCTGGGATCACCGTAGCTCTCATGGGGTAGCCTGAGATCACCGCTCCCGTGGGTAAGCCTGAGTCCACCGTAGCCCTCATCGGGTAGCCTGAGATCACCGTAGCTCCTATGGGGTAGCTTGGGCTCACCGTAGCCCCCTATAGGGTAGCCTGGGATCACCGTAGCCTTCTGGGGGTAGCCTGAGATCATTGTACCCCCCAATGGGTAGCATGAGATCACCGTAGCTCCGTGGGGTCGCCTGAGATCACCGTAGCTCCCATGGGGTAGCCTGAGACCACCGTAGCTCCCATGGGGTAGACAAAGATCACCGTAGCCCCCAATTTTTAGGCTGAGACCACCGTAGCTCCCATTGGGTAGCCTTAGATCACAGTAGCTCCCATTGAGTAGCCTTAGATCACCGTACCTCCCATAGGGTAGCCTGGGATCACCGTAGCTCCCACGGGGTAGCTTAGGATCACCGTAGCCCTAATGGGGTATCCTAGGAACACCATAGCCCTCATGGGGTAGCCTGAGACTACCGTAGCTCCCATTGCGTAGCCTGAGATCATTGAAGCCCCCATGGAGTAGCCTGAGATCACCAAAGCTCCCATGGGGTAGCCTGAGATCACCGTAGCCCTCATGGGGTTGCCTGAGATCTCCGTAGCTCCCATGGGGAAGCCTGAGATCAAAATAGCACCCGTGGGGTAGCTTGGGATCATCGTAGCTCCAATGGGGTAGCCTGGGATCACCGTAGCTCCAATGGGGAAGCCTGAGATCATTAAAGCTCCCGTGGGGTAGTCTAGGATCACTGTAGCTTCCATGGGGTAGCCGGAGAACACCGAAGCGTCCATGGGGGAGTCTGAGATCACCGTAGCCCCCATGGGATAGCGTGGGATCACCGAAGCTCCCTTGGGGATGCCTTGGATCACCGTAGCCCCTATGGGGTAGCCTGAGATCACCTGAGCTCCCATGGCGCAGCATGAGATCATCGTAGCTCCCATTGGGTAGCCAGAGATTACCGTAGCTCCCATGGGGTAGCCTGGGGTCACCGTAGCCTTCATTGGGTAGCCTGGGATCACCGTAGCCCCCATGGGGTATCCTGGGATCACCGTTGCCCTCATGGGGTAGCCTGAGACTACCGTAGCTCCCATTGTGTAGCCTGAGATCACTGGAGCTTCCATGGGGTAGGCTGAGACCACCGTAGCCCTCCTCGGGTAGCCTGAGTTCACCGTATCTCCAATGGGGTAGCCTGGGATCACCGTAGCCCCCAATGGGGTAGCCTGGGATCACCGTAGCTCTCATGGGGTAGCCTGAGAATACCGTAGCCCCTATTAGGTAGCCTGAGCTCACCGCTCCCATGAGGTAGCCTGAGACCACCGTAGCCCTCATTAGGTAGCCTTAGATCCCCGTAGCTCCTATGGGGTAGCTTGGGATCACCGTAGCCCCCATGGGATAGCCTGAGATATCAGTAACCCCCATGGGGTAGTCTGAGATCACCGTAGCTCCCATGGGGTAGCCTGGGATCACCAGAGATCCCATGGGGAAGCCTGAGATCACCGTAGCTTCCATGGGGTAGCCGGGGTTCACTGTAGCTCCCATTGGGGAGCCAGAGATCACCATTGCTCCCATGGGGTAGCCTGGGATCACCGTAGCCCCCATTGGGTAGCCTGAGATCACCGTAACTCCCGTGGGGTAGCCTGGAATCAATGTAGCCCCCCATGGGGTAGTCTGGGATCATTGTAGCCCCCATGGGGTAGCCTGAAATCACCATAGCCTCATTGGGTAGCCTGAGATCACCGTAGCTTCCGAGGGGTAGCCTGGGATCATCGTAGCTTCCATGGGATTGCCTGGGATCACCGTAGCTCTCATTGGAAACCCTGAGATCACCGTAGCTCCCTTGGGGTAGCCTGGCGTCAGCGTAGCTCCCATTGGGTAGCCGGAGATCACCGTAGCTCCTATGGGGTAGCCTTGGATCACCGTAGCGTCCATGGAGGAGTCTGAGATTACCGTAGCCCCCGTGGAGTAACCTGAGATCACCATAGCTCCCAAGGGGTAGTCTGGGATCACCGAAGCTCCAATGGGGTAGCCTGGGATCACCGTAGCCCCCATGGGGTAGCCTGAGACCACCGTAGCTCTCATGGCGTAGCCTGAGATCACTGTAGCTCCCAAAGGGTAGCCTGAGATCACCGTAGCTCCTATAGGGTAGCCTGGGATCACCGTAACCCCAATGGGGTTGCCAGGGATCACCGTAGCTCCAATGAAGTAGCCTGAGATCACTGTCGCCCCTATGAGGTAGCCTAGGATCACCGTACCTCCCATGGCAACCCGTTCTCGCAAATTCGTAAAGTCAATATTGACTTATTAACTACGTGCATAGGTGACATACTAAACATAATAGATACCCTTAAAAAGATTCATAGAAAACACCGACCTTACCTAACCTTGTTAGTATCTTAAGATAAGCATCTTATTGCTTCGTAATTACAATTATTACTTAACCTACACCTATTATAGGTTAGGTAATAATTGTAATTACGAAGCAATAAGATGCTTATCTTAACATACAAAGTAGGTTAGGTAAGGTCGGTGTTTTCTATGAATTTTTTTAAGGGTATCTATTATGTTAAGTATGTCACCTATGCACATATTTAATAAGTCAATATTGACTTATTTAATTTGCGAGAACGGGTTGCCCATGGGGTAGCCGGAGATCACCGTAGCCCTAATGGGGTAGCCTAAAATCATTGTAGCTCCAATGATGTAGCCTGAGACCACCGTAGCCCCCATCGTGTAGCCTGAGATCACTGTAGCTCCCATGGGGTAGCTTGGGATCACCGTAGCCCCCCATTTGGTAACCTGGGATCACCGTAGCTCTCATGGTTTAGCCTGAGATCCCCGCTCCCGTTATCTTAAGGTTATCTTGAGATGATTTCGGGGTTTAGTGTCCCCGCTGCCCGGTCCTCGACCAGGAATCCACCCCCAGGAAGCAGCCCGTGACAGCTGACTAACTCCCAGGTAATTATTTACTGCTAGGTAACAGGGGCATTTAGGGTGAAAGAAACTTTGCCCATTTGTTTCTGCCTCGTGCGGGAATCGAACCCGCACCACAGAATTACGAGTCCTGCGCGCTATCGCCCACCAGGCTACGAGGGCTCCACCCCCCTCTCTCTCTCTCTCTCTCTCTTCTCTCTCTCTCTCTCTCTCTCTCTCTCTCTCTCTCTCCTCTCTCTCTCTCTCTCTCTCTCTCTCTCTCTCTCTCTCTCACACTCTCTCTCCCTCTCTCTCTCTCTCTCTCTCTCTCTCTCTCTCTCTCTCTCTCTCTCTCTCTCTCTCTCTCTCTCTCTCTCTCTCTCTCCCTCTCTCACACTACTGATGCTGGCCATCTCCCCCCCCACCAACATAACACTCTCCAACACCAACAACGCTTGAGCGATTTCTCCTCCTCAACTTCCTATCAAAGTTAGCTACCTCGGGCTCTTCCCCGCCTTGCCCCGCCCTGCCACACCACCTCGGGCTCTTCCCCGCCTTGCCCCGCCCTGCCACACCACCTCGGGCTCTTCCCCGCCTTGCCCCGCCCTGCCACACCACCCCGGGCTCTTCTCCGCCTCGCCCCGCCCTGCCACACCACACCCTACCACACTCCATCACACCACACTCCATCACACCACACTCCATCACACCACACTCCATCACACCACACTCCATCACACCACACTCCATCACACCACACTCCATCACACCACACTCCATCACACCACACTCCAACACACCACACTCCAACACACCACACTCCATCACACCACACTCCATCACACCACACTCTAACACACCACACTCCATCACACCACACTCCAACACACCACACTCCATCACACCACACTCCAACACACCACACTCCATCACACCACACTCCATCACACCTTATGAAATTCCACTACTTCCCCAACACGCCTAACCAACACAATCCCCAACACACTCCCCAACACACTCCCCAACACACTCCCAACACACTCCCCAACACACTCCCCAACACACTCCCCAACACACTCCCCAACACACTCCCCAACACACTCCCCAGTACACTCCCCAACACACTCTCCAACATACTCTCCAACACACTCTCCAACTCACTCCCCAACACACTCCCCAACACACTCCCCAACACACTCCCCAACACACTCTCCAACATACTCTCCAACACACTCCCCAACACACTCCCCAACACACTCCCCAGTACACTCCCCAACACACTCTCCAACATACTCTCCAACACACTCCCCAACACACTCACCAACACACTCCCCAACACACTCACCAACACACTCCCCAACACACTCCACAACATACTCCCCAACACACTCCACAACACACTCCCCAACACACTCCCAACACACTCACCAACACACTCCCCAACACACTCACCAACATACTCTCCAACACACTCCCCAACACACTCACCAACACACTCCCCAACACACTCTCCAACACACTCCACAACACACTCCACAACACACTCTCCAACACACTCCACAACACACTCCCCAACACACTCACCAACATACTCCCCAACACACTCCACAACACACTCCCCAACACACTCCACAACACACTCCCCAACACACTCCCCAACACACTCCCCAACACACTCTCCAACACACTCCCCAACACACTCCCCAACACACTCCCCAACACACTCCCCAACACACTCCACAACACACTCCCCAACACACTCCCCAACACACTCCCCAACACACTCCACAACACACTCCACAACACACTCCCCAACACACTCCCCAACACACTCCCAACACACTCTCCAACACACTCCACAACACACTCCCCAACACACTCCCCAACACACTCCACAACACACTCCACAACACACTCCCTGCCCTTTACAGCCCTTAAACGTCATCGAAAAAAGGTAACCATTCATCACCAGCGACATTTGTCGAGTCTTAGAAACATTTTCCCACCGTAACTCTCAGCTCCCTCCCCTCCTGACCCCCTCCCAATACCCTGCCCCCACCCCCCCATTCCCTGACCCCCTCCCCATACCCTGACCCCCTCCCCATACCCTGACCCCCTCCCCATGCCCTGACCCCCTCCCCATACCCTGACCCCCTCCCCATGCCCTGACCCCCTCCCCATACCCTGACCCCCTCCCATGCCCTGACCCCCCTTCCCCTGACCCCCCCATGTCCTGAGCCTCTTTCCCTGACCCCCCATGCACTGACACGATCTCTCGCTGTGTACTTGGATAATCAAGTTGACAATTAAGTAGCCTCCATTTAGCGTAGTCGGAACTACAACATTACGGTTGTTGAAACATTAATTTTCCTGGATGGTTGTAATGGTGATTTATACTCATACATTATTATATCAAGGAAATATTGTTAAGTACGATACAACACCACTTCTATAGGTCCCTCCGAGACGTACAGCTTGGCTCCTGACACACAATACTTCCACTAGTCTCTAACCTGCTTTAACCTGCCCTAACCTACCCTGTCATAACCTAATCTAACCTAACCTAACCTGCCCTATCCTACCCTGTCATAACCTAACCTAACCTAACCTAACCTAAGCTGCCCTAACCTACCCTATCCTAACTTAACCTAACGTAAGCTGCCCTAACCAAACCTAACATATCCTAACCTAACCTAACCTAAGCTGCCCTAACCTAACCTCTCCTAACCAAACCTAACCTAACCTAACCTAACCTGCCCTAACCTACCCTGTCATAACCTAACCTAACCTACCCTAAGCTGCCCTAACCTACCCTATCCTAACTTAACCTAACGTAAGCTGCCCTAACCAAACCTAACATATCCTAACCTAACCTAACCTATTCTGCCCTAACCTAACCTGTCCTAACCTAACCTAACCTAACCTGCCCTAACCTACCCTGTCATAACCTAACCTAAGCTGCCCTAACTAGCCTATCGTAACTTAACCTAACCTAAGCTGCCCTAACCTAACCTATCCTAACTTAACCTAGCCTAAGCTGCCCCTAACCTAACCTGCCCTAACCTTAACTGCCCTAACCTAACCTATCTTAACCTAACCCAAACCAACCTGCCCTAACCTA